GTTTTCATCTCGTTGTTCCTGCATCGTTCTGATCCTTCGTTTTGGTTTCATGCAGCCGACTCCAACATCACGGCAGAAGAGGGCTTTGATGAGAAGGGCTGCCACTGTGATATCTCGGTGGAGGACCTGCTGCCTTCAGTGAAGACCGTCATCCGAGCCGTCAGGTTAGTTGATGTTAGATTTTCTTTCTCCTGAGAGGAAACAAAGCCTGACTGCGGATCGCTGCGGTGAGGCCGCACTCCCGATTGAGATCAATTGACTGGAAGCTTTTCTTTTAATAAATCCTTTATTTTTAGCTCATAATGAGATCTTGGTCTACAAAGAAAGGAAATTTGTGAACTGAGGAGTTATTACTGCAAAGCCGTGAAAGCTGAGGAAGAAGAGCGCCGGTTCTCCACTCTTCCTGCAGATCTTTTAGTTTTAAATTTTTGGGATTCTGGCTGATTTTTCACTTTTCGACATTTTCTGGCCCGTAAACATGTTGACACATAAAAACTTTACAAAGAGACAGCTTAAAGGTAGTTTACCAAATTCACAATAATCATAAGATACTTTAGATCAGGGTTCTGCAACCTGCGGCCCTGGAGCCACAAGTGGCTCGTTGGGCCCTCCACACCTCTCTCAATGATTTTGACTAAAAAAGAATGATATGTTTTTTTAAATATACATAAAATAAAAAATGCAGGTTTAGGCAGCTTTTTTGTTTCTGTTTTTTATGGAAAACACTAAAAATACCAGGAATGTTTAGATATATTTGTGGGTTTGTTGTTTAGTTTTTTTTTGTATAATTTTCCACAAATAACATCCCATAGAAAAATGAACACAAACATTTTTTTATTAATAGAAAGAAAACACCATTGGTGTTCTGTGTCTAAGTACGTGAATGCGTAATGAATGGAGGACCCAGGAAAGTGTGGCGGTTCGGCAACACCGACAACCAGACGGTCCAGGCGTTGGTGTTATTGTTGGTGGTTTTTAGAAAAATGTGAGAGAACCACTTTATTATCCTTTTTTTTAGGTTTATTTCCAAGCAGCACCATTTCTGACACCTGGATCCACGTGGTCTATCAGCTCCTGTAATATAGAAGAGTGTTGCTCGTAACATCAACCTACCGAACCCATGGCCTGCACTAGGGGCTGCATGACAATTTTTTTTAAATCTTTTTTTTTTTTTTTTTGAAAATCGAGTCGACTTTGACTAGTCGTTGATGACGTCATACGGTTGGTTCGCTGGAGTTTTTGACAATTAAAATTTTCTGTGTTAAACACATCTCTTTTAACAACGGTAGTTGCTGCATCTCGCTTCAGCCCCCTGCCCCCTCCCCCTGTTCAGCCCTCCCCCCTCCCCCTGCTTCAGCCCCCTCCCCCCTCCCCCTGCTTCAGCCCCCTCCCCCCTCCCCTGCTTCAGCCCTCTCCCCCCTCCCCCTGCGCAGCAGCCGCAAACTCACTGATGCGCCTGCAACCTCTCGGAGTTCCTGCTGCTCTAAACATTAAAATAATTATTTCATTTTCTGTTCCTCACTTCTGATTACCTTCAATGGTGTCTGTTTGTTGCAACCAGCAGGTACAAAAACTAGCTTGTTTTTATTTGACTATTTTTCTGTCCTGTCTGTTTATTATCTTCCTGCATCTCCTCTCAGTCCTAAAGAGAAACTGCTACCTGGGTTCATATATATTCACCTCATGAGTTACCTTTGAACTGCAGTTCTAAAAGATCTACCGACTGCTAAAACAGCGGAGTGCTTGCTGTTTGGCAGCCGAATCAGTGATCGGTGCGTCACCGAGGACAAAACAGGTGATGCGCCCCGATCCACAGCAGCGAAAAGCATCAGGTACAAATAAAAGAATAAAAGACAGAAAACATAAAAGGAAATGAGCCGACATGAACGATCGCGTGTTAAATTAGTTTTTGAGGTGGCGACACCTGATGTGATAATGTTACTGTGGCCGTGCTCAGGACGCAGATGTCTGGAGCGCGTCAACAATCAGAGCTTTGCATGCGCAAGCTGGTTAAGGTTAGGATGGGGGTGAGGGGAAGGTTAAATTGCAAGAGGGTAAAGGTCACAATTTGGTTAAATGTCCGTTTTACGGCGGGTGTCGGTACCGACGCTCTGGCACAGCGCGTTGCCTCCCGACGCGCAGGAGCTTGTCACCTGCTGACAGCAGGCTGCTGTCTTTTCCGAGGACTGCATCTTGCCGGTCATTATCACGTGACAGCGACTAGTCGATGACAGGCATAACAAGTCACTATAGAGCGGTGAAGTCGACTAGTGACTAGTTCATACAACCCCTACTGCACTAGACGGATGAATTAGTGATTAATGTTGCAGGTGGAATAATAACATTGACAATAAATCATGTTTATTGACCTATTTTACTCTTAAGAGTATATTTCTTTATTTTCCTGTTCTGAAACCCACACATAGCCAGGAGGTGTTTATTAATAAATGTTCTAGGATGTTCTGTTCCTGTGCCTGTTTCTCATCAAGATGTCTTCTCCAGTTTGCCATAAAGCTTTGTTTTACTGCTGTCTGCCCTTGCTGACTCCATCTTTTCTCCACTTTCCACCAATTTGTCCTGATTTCAGCCTTGAGGCTTTGCAGGTGAATAAAATCAGTTGTTTTACATCCACACAGCAGAGAAAACAGCGATGCTCCTGTTAGAAGGTTGTACTGGACCTTAGCTGGGTCAGAGCTCCTCCTGGTGGCCGTTTTATCTATCCCCTCTTATCCCTCCTCCTGCAGGATAATGAAGTTTCACGTAGCAAAGAAGAAGTTTAAGGAGACGCTGCGTCCGTACGACGTGAAGGATGTAATTGAGCAGTACTCGGCCGGTCATTTGGACATGCTGTGCCGCATTAAGAGTCTGCAGACCAGGTAGGAACGATCATCCGGCTGCATACGCTTTCTCAGGACTCTGGAAGTGTCTCTTGGCATGTTTGCACATCCTAAGAAAATGTGCATGACTCTGACATGTTTTGTATTTTTTGCATGTACGTACCTTTGTGTGTGCATGTTTTTGCTTCCCTCACAGGCTGGACATGATACTTGGCACCCGAGCCCTGAGCAGCCGTGCGAAGACCTTTTCCTCCCCCGCCCTGCCTGTCTTTGACATCCAGGGCAGGAAGAACTCCATCCAGGGGTTAGACTGCCCCCACCATCCTCAAACATTCACACCTCCTCATGGTTTTAAATCACCTCAGTCCATTCAAGGAGAGAAAAGGAAGCCTCTTTTTCTTTAGGCATTAACTTTTGGGCATTCAAATATCTTCAGAAGAGTCATCCTAACTTCCTGTTTACAAAATGTGTGCTCCTAAAATACCAAATTAAGTAAAATCGTCTCGGAAAGAAAAGGCGGCTTACAGGTGATTAAATAAAGGTGACTTTAATTGACTGAGGTGGGAAGGAAACACGTCTTTTCTGGCTTCTGATTCGTGTAACACACTAATGTGATGTCCACGCTGATTTCTGGTGGGAATTCTGGGAATAGTCCGCAGGAATCTGCAGCTTGATCCTGGAATGTCCCAAAAATGACACATTTGTGCAAATGGCTTGTTGCAACGCTGCGTCCTGCTGTCGCTGCCTCAACTTCTTATTAGGAAAGAAAAGAGAAGCAACATCAAAGCTTCTTTTGGCTTCTTCTCACAGCTTCCATGAGCCGGCGGCGTTCACTCAGACTAACTGAATTAACACAACGCAAAAATAACAAAACAAAAATAACAAAAAGTGCTCCTTTGTTGTTTTTTTCTAACTTTTCTGTAGTTCTTCGGGCTTTGGATCACTAACACGTCAGACGTTCTTCCTGTCACTAATCTTCGCTTGTGTTTGTGTGTCTTGTGTAACCAGAGTGGACCAAATCCTCGGGAAGGGTCAGATCCCTCTGGACAAGAAGATACGAGAGAAGCTGTTGTCTGAAGGGGACATCCTGGAGGACATGAGCATGCTGGGTCGTGTCTGTAAGGTGGAGCGGCAGGTGAGTGGCACCTGGAAGACACACCTGTTATTACTCGGCTATTCCTTATTCCTGGGCCGGCTAATGTAGAAACGATGATGCAAACGACATCCAGTGAGATACCGGAAGCAGAGCACAGCTATTAGCTTGCATGGAGAGGTTTTGTTTCTCGTAGCACTTTAGCTGAAAATTTCAAGAGGATTTTAAACGTTATTTTCCCTGAAACGTCTACCTGCGCCGCAGGAACAAGCTGCGCTTTTCACAGTCGCACTAACAACAGGGCTCAGGTCATGGGGGAGCTAGGGGGAGCTTGGCTCCCCTGAAAGGGTGATGGGCTCCCCCAGAAGCACGGATCCCTTACAGCAGTGCGCCCCAGGGCAGCTGTGGCTACGTTGTAGCTCATCACCAACAGCGTGTGAATGGATGAATGATTCACTGTAATGTAAGGCGCTTTGGAGTCCTCTGATTCAGAAAGGGTTGGTCTTGGTCAATGATTATTCCTCAAACCAAAAGCAAACAAAGCAGCAGAATAATTAAGATTTAAGTGATTTGGGTGTTTTTCTCTCACAGGTCCAGTCCATCGAGTCGAAGCTGGACTCGCTGCTTGACATTTATCGCCAGGTCTTACGTAAAGGCTCCTCTTCAGCCGTCACGCTGTCCTCCCTCCCTCTGTTCGAGCTGGAGCAGACGTCTGACTACAACTCCTCCGTCTTCTGTAAGGACTTGTCCAGCTCCACTCGGGCGAGCAGCGGTGGAGCTCCTCCTGCTGGTGGTTTTGTGACATGCTCCTCCACCAGCTCTCAACTATCACAGGGGGGTCTCCATCTCATTCTGGCTCCTCCAAAAGAACTCAACCTCAACACCTCCTCTTCCACACCTCCCTCTGGTCCTGCATCTTCCTGTTTTAGCCCACCGCCGCTGCCTCATCATCATCATAAACAAGTTTATGCCACGTCATCTGAAAGTGGCCCAGACGACGCTGCGGGGAACTCTCCCGCTCTCCTCACTCCGAACAGTACCAGCAGTTCTGGAGGCCGAGGAGTTGGAGACGGAGAGTTTCCCCTTTTGGCGAGGCTTCCGCCCCCTCCTTCTGGTCGAAGCGGTGGACCAGTAAACTTGATGCTAGCAATCTCCAATGAGGTGTCTCCTGAAATCCAGGACTTCTGTGGAGGTTTAGGGAGGCAAATGGAGGGCACGGAGGACCTTGGGCTTGAGATGAAGCTGAACACTTTGGAGCAGTTACAGAGAAGCACCAACAGGAGGGTGGATCCCAAAGAGGAAGGTTCCTGGAGGAGACACATGAGCCTAGAGCTGGAACCTGTGGTTCCTCCAGGTCCGGGCTGCTGCTCAAAACCCATCCACGCAGACCGAGGACTGGGTAAGTCCATGTCTGTGCAGGACCTGATGCAGGTATCCCCCAGTCACGGCGCCCATCAAAGTCACAGCCTGTCATCTCCAAGCCCGAGTACAAGCAGCGACTCACCCATCAGCTCCCACATATGCAGCCAGGACCCTGGGGGAGGAGGTGGAGTTTCAGCAATGGGGAGTGAAAGCAGGTGGGGTGAGGAGGACCTCTTTATCAGCGACAGGGACATGAAGGTGCAGGGATTTAACTTTCTCCCACAGGACACGTCAGATGCTCACACCTTTTCTTCAGAGCTCCTGAGGAGAGGAGGCAGGGGGGGGACAGGGTCCCAGGACTCCGCCGGGATCTTGACCAGAGCTCCCACTTCCTCCCCCTCCACAGACAGCACCGAACTGATGAACACGCCTCACGTACGGCTAAAATAGACCTGCCGCCATGTTCTGGTGATTCAGACCTTTCACCTCAAGTTTTGATCACTTTTGGGGGGGGGGGGGGGGGGGGGGGGTCGACTGACAGTATTTTCACACAGCCTGGTTACTTTAGTCATCATAGCATGTCCCCGTGTTTAAATGTATGTTCTGTCTGGTCTGAGACACGAGGAAGATCAAAACCTTTGTGATGTTCAGGTTGATGTCTGATCCCGACCCACCAAACAGATGCTCTCTGTTAAAGACCAAGTTCACCTGTTTCATCAACACATCTGCAGCTCTAGTATAAATGAATGCCTTGTGAGTCCATCTCTATGGTAAAGAAGCTCTGGCGCTCCTGTTTGAGGAACTAGAAGTTATTCGGAGCCGAGGTGATAAGAAGACAGCAGGATTTGGAGTCTTGTTTCCTGATATTTGAACATCTCACCTGACTGGATAACAGCAACGCAACTCTACCACGGACTCAGATTGCTCTGCAACGTTGATCAAGGGATTCTGCAGTGTGTTGGAGTTGCTAATGCTAATGGTTAGCTTCTGCTAGTCATTAGTTTCCTGGACGCTAAACCAACAACAGTTCCCGCCCGTCACGAGTCAAGATGCTAATTTGCAGCGTGACATAGATCCAACTGACTTCTCTAATCCGAGTGTTTATCGGCTATTTTCCATCGGCAGCCAATGTAGGAAATAGGGGAAGAAGACTCTGTTTCTGTTTAGCTTAAACTCAAGATTGACCGACCGTCTTTCAAAAATAACAAAAAACAGCTGGTGAACTTGATCTTTAAAGAGAATCCTATTAAACTTAAACATTTAAATCAAATTCATCACTAAAACTATACCAAAGGATCACATCTGTCAACACAAGGCTGTCAACGGGCACAAACCAGGGTCTGAGAGGTTTTAGGTGTTTACATTTTTCTGAGCATCGGCTCTTTTTCTGGGCGAGTCTCACCGAACACGCCAGACTGGTTGACTCGGTTTACAGTCATTTTACATTTAAGCCCCATCACAATGATTCAGGTGGCTTACTTCACACATCAGACCTTCTCGTCAGCTGCTGGTACATCACACGTTCAAAGACTCTGTGTCTCTGCACTTTTATCCAAAGTGAAAACACACGAAAACTCTGCTTTTAGGAGATTTAAACTTTAACTATTTTAAAAACTATGAAACAAAAATTATTTTGAATGAAATTCAGCTTTTTTTCCCCAGAACTTTTATTAAAACTCCGGTCCTGGTGAGATGGAGCTTTCATACACCAGTCTGCTGGTTTTAAATGTAACTTGAATGTTATTTTCTGATTGAAAACTTATTTCAGCCCTCTATTGAAAAATGTTTGTCCCAGAAAAGCACTTTGTTCTGATTCAGAAACACTGAAAGAAATATTCAGAGATGTATGTTTGTATTGAATTTGGCTTTTTGCCATCTGTTTTTACATGAAATGAAGACTTTATTCATATTTTTGACTCCTTGTAGCAGAAAGTGTGTCTGAGCAGTCAGAACTGAAGTGAACTGCTGACAAGGCAACGCTTCTCGTCACATGGAGCAGAACTCTGTGTGATGATTATTTCATTTGTTTCCTACAAGTTTTAATATTGCAGCTTCAGCAACACACAAACAACATAGATCTGTTTTAAAAATCATGTTCAAAGAGGAACTTTACTCATATTTTAATACATTTGCAGTGGTCTGTAATAGGAATGGATGCCTTGTAAGTTGTTCTCTGGGGAAAAAAGGTCCGGTGAACCTGTTTCAGAGGAGAAAGTAGCTACAGACGACAGGATTTGGAGTCTTATTTCCTGAGTTTTGGACATCTCGCTCCTGATTGGCTGACAGCAACATGACTCTAACACTTACTCTGTTTTCTTTGCAACGTTGATGTTTTATCTCCACAAATAACACAAGCCTGGAGGTGTTCTGCTGTGTGGTGGAGTTGCTAATGCTAACGATTAGCTTCTACTAGCAGGGGCGTTTTCTGCTGTTTCCTGGACGCTAAACCAACAACAGCCGGGGGTGAGTCCATGAATGTTAAGTGACAGTATGACGTAGATCTGTCAGGTTTTTATAATCCTAGAGTTTCAACGTCTATTTTCTATCAGGAGCTGATGCAGGAGATAGGTGTAGGAGACTATTTTCACGTTCACTTTAAAAAAATAATAAATAAAAAAGGTTTCTCAGTGAAGCTCCTCTAAAAAAACACCAGGAAGGCTCACGTGTTTCATTTGATCACCAAACTGATCCCGCAGGGACAATAAGTCATGTCAGAAAGAGCAGAAAACCAAACTTCACATGATGCAACGATGAGCTGCTTTCGTTAAGGGAGACGATGATGTGTCTGTTTGAAGAAACTAAAAAAATAACTGGAAATCAGCTGCCCAGTGTATTAATAGTTCAGTTACAGTTTTGGCTCAAATGATCACAAAAACAATGTCATCAGAGAAAATAACCTATTAATAAAATAACCTTTCTGCTCTTATTTTGTCAGGCCTTCCTATTTTCTTTCAACCATATAAGAATGTCGTGTGACGTAGAAGAAGAAAGACATTTTGGCCTCAGTTTCAATCAGTAAGCAGCTCAACTCTGCATCAGCACGTAAAAACGGACCCCAGCTCTGGCCCGAGATGAATGAACGTACACGACACCGGTGCCTTGTTTCTATTTGTGTCTGTTTGATTCCTCCACAAAGACAGAGTTGCACTATTCATTTTGCCTTTTGAGATGTTATCATTTGAGACATTTTATCCATTTTTCTCAGATTATTTTGCTCTGGGCTTCTGATGAGCAACTGTTAGGGTTCTGTTTTAATTTTATAATTTATTTTAAATTATGTCCACATATTTTCACATGAATATTATCCTTTGTTAGATTAAGAAAGCCTGTAGATTAATACAAGTGCAAGTGAACGCTTATTGTCAGACATGAATAAAGGAAATACTACGTGAAGACGGCTTTTGGTCTTTTGTTTTTGAAAGTCAGGCTCAGGGGTTAGGAGTTTGCCCTGTAATTGGAGGGTTGCAGGTTCGATCCCAGGGTCCATCAGTCATGCTGATCGTAGCATCCTTTGGCAAGACACGTCACCTGCCGGTGGTGAGTAGTCGGATTAAAATAAAGATGATTCTTTCAAACACACCATTCTGATCACTCTGACCCGATCACTTTCATTCGGATCAACATTTTCTTCTGATTAAGAAAATGTTTTAATTCCTAGAAATCATTTACCGATTTTGCAAATGAGTCCATATCAATTCCAGTCGGCACAAATGACGTCACCATGCACGTTGTGTAGCTTCTGCATTTAGTCAGGAGGAAACATGGCGCCTAAGCAGCAGCGCAAACGCTCGAAAGTTTATAGTTTACGAGAAAGGGAGACATTTGGACAACTTGCAATAAATGCAAAGTAGATATTTCACCAAAGGGAGGAAACGGTGAATATACTAAAGAATTTGGGCGCAAAATAAGCGATAACTTAACGTGAAAGTTGTGTTTTTGACCCACTCCAGACTGGTGAGTTTAAATGCAGCAGCGGTGATGTTTGTGTGTCTTCTCCTGTTAACACTGCATATATTAACTAACACTCAGTGTTGGGAACGTTACTTTAAAAAAGTAATTAGTTATAGTTACTGATTACTTTTGTTAAAAAGTAACTCAGTTACTAACTGAGTTACAAGATCATAAAAGTAACTAATTACCAACAAAGATAACTACTTAGTTACTTTTTTCATTAAAGAATGCAAGAATTAGTACAATAGTGAAATATAAATGACTAATGACTGGAACATAATAAAATGTATGTCCAAATGTTTTTTATAAACCTGAATAATTTAAATAAATAAGTACCTAACAGGAGGAACTACTAACAGGAACATTACACTAATCTAGACTATTAAAAGGTCACTGTGTGATATTTAACAAGACCCCAATCAGCTAAAATTTAAAATTGCAAATAGAAACACCTGTAAAGGTTCCTGAGCCTTTAAATGGTCTCTCAGTCTAGTTAAATTACAGAAATAAATGTAATTTTGCACAATATTCTAAGTTTTCCAGCTTCACATAATTGTGTGTTTTAGCAGCATTTCTGTTGCTGCTAATCTAGTAACGGTTAAATAAATAAATAAAATCCTTTAAATGACACTAGAAGAGGCACAAGCCTGATGGAGGACTTACATTTACTAACGTGGGTCAGACCCAACCACAGAAGAGCTGAAGCTGGGTGGTGAACACACACAGGTAGTTCTAATAACACCTGAGCTCCATGACGTCTGAGACTGATGCATCAGTGTTACAGCGGGACTAAAGACATGATCAGGAACAGGTTACAGCTGGATGATCTAGGAAGGTAGAAGATCAGGACGTCTGAGCGGTGAACAGGTGAGCGGACCTTCGGGACGTCCCGCTGTCACTCTAAGAAGGACACGGCTGCAGATCCACACCTGCAGCTGTAGATATTCATCACGTCTTCCTCGTTCTTCACGGCCGTGATGCTCTTGGATGAAAACATCTGCCTCTTTAGCTCCTGATCAGCTGATGACAGCTTCAACACACTGCGCTGCTTAACGCACGCATTTCCTTATCAGTAACAGAAACGATCGTTTTGTTAAAAGAAGACGGTAATTAATTAGTTTGCTCGTTACAGAAAGAAATATTTTTTTAGTAACGTGGTTATTTTAAACGGCGTTATTACCATCACTTGCTGTGTCTACACTACAGCAGCAGCGACTGAGACGGTGAAGGTCTCCGCCCACCTGGCCAATCATCATCGTGTTTGTAAGCGCGTTACCGACACCTCTCTCTCCCTGGCTGCAGCTGAAGTGTGGCGGTCAGAAAGCCTCACGCAGCTGCTCAACGTTCGACAAGCACATAGTAACGCACAACCTTCCGTCCCCAGTAACGGTAACGGCGTTGCAACGGCGGGAAAAGTAATTAATTAGATTATTCCGTTACCTAAAAAAGAACGCCGTTAGTAACGCCGTTATACTTAAACGGCATTACTCCCAACACTGCTAACACTGGCTATCATGTCAGCATCATTTGCCTTATATACATACAGTTACTCCTCGCTAGCAGACTAGCGACAAAAGTCCACCCTGTGGTGCGATTTTTCCCATTTTGCAAAAGCTACAGCAACACTACACCGTACAAGAAGATGACTCGGTGCTCACCAGGAGCATACAAGAGAACATTTGGAAAGATCTTTCCAAACAATACCAGGTACAGTTGATTGTTTATCATTAATAATCTGGCTGTTATAATGCAGGAGACTGTGTGCAATTATTTTTTCACCACCTATTGAACTACTCTGGAATTGATAAGGGAATGGATTGATAGAATCATTAATGGCATTAATATGGAAAAGAACGTATCAATTCCCAACACTAAGTGCAATAATTACACTCTTAAAATAACAAACTTTAAAAATGACTCAAAAAGTATGAATACACACAAAAACTACTCAGTTATAGTAACGCAAGTAAACGTAATTCGTTACTCTCCACCTCTGGTAGACGTACCGTACGTCTGTTTATGGACGCTAGATGGAAACGTGGCGATAACTCTTCCGCCGTCTCCCCCTCTACATCATCATACTCAAAAGCTGATACTGTTTGGTATTGATGCCTTAGTTCATCATGTTAATTCCTCTTTACGTGTGGCATTAGATGATGTTCCCCCTTTAGAAAAGAAGGTAATTAGGGACAGGAAGTTGGCTCCCTGGTTTAACTCTCATTTACGAGCCTTAAAACAAAACTCTAGGAAATTGGAGAGAACATGGCGCTCTACACACCATGAGGAGGCCTACCTATCCTGGAAAAATAGTCTTGTGCTTTATAAAAATAAGCTTCGACAAACTAGAACTGCTTACTTCTCAGCACTAATTGAGGAGAATAAGCATAATCCTAAATTTCTTTTCAGTACAGTTGCTAAACTTACACAGAATCATAGCTCTGAGCCATCTATTCCCTTAGCCCTCAGCAGCAATGACTTCATGGGATTTTTTACAAGTAAAATTAATTCTATTAGAAACAAAATCTTTAGCATCCTCCCTAATGCGATTTCTTCTTCCTCAGTAAGTGAGGCAGCATCAGAGGTGACTCTAGAACCTCATCTGTGCTTGAACCGTTTTGATCCAGTTGAGCTTTCAGAGTTATCAAAAATATTAGCTTCATCTAAACCTTCAACTTGCATTTTGGATCCAATCCTAACCAAATTATTTAAAGAAGCATATCCTTTGGTTACTGCCCCCATTCTAGATATAATCAATCTATCCTTAGTAAATGGACAGTCACCAATTCTTGTCATGTGTCTTACCCACGTATGTCTGATCTTTGAATTGTGTGTGCTGAAACTCAATTTCGTTTCTCTGTATGTCCTGCACATGTGGTAGAAATGACAATAAATTACTTTGACTTTGACTTGACTTTGACTTTGGATATGTACCACAGGAGTTTAAGGTTGCTGTAATCACACCTTCACTTAAGAAGCCTTCTCTGGATCCAGATGACCCAATGAACTATAGACCAATATCTAACCTTCCATTTTTATCCAAAGTCCTGGAGAAAATAGTGGCCATCCAAGTATGTGAGCATTTAAACACTAATGCTCTGTTTGAGGAATTTCAGTCTGGTTTTAGAGAGTATCACAGCACTGAAACTGCATTAGTGAGAGTTACAAATGATATTCTCATGGCCTCAGATAAGAATCTTGTGTCTGTTCTAGTCTTGTTAGATCTCAGTGCTGCCTTTGACACAGTTGATCACAATGTTCTTTTAGAAAGACTTGAACATGTTGTAGGGATCAAAGGAACAGCGCTAGGCTGGTTTAAATCCTACCTGTCTGACAGATTTCATTTTGTAAATGTACATGACAAATCTTCTTCATACTCCAGGGTTACTTGTGGAGTACCACAGGGTTCAGTGCTTGGACCAATTCTTTTTACTATATATATGCTCCCAGTTGGTAAAATCATTAGACAGCATGGGATAAACTTCCACTGTTATGCTGACGATACTCAGCTATATTTATCCATTAACCCTGATGAACCTAATCGGTTGGGTAGATTACAGGCTTGTCTTGAGAACATAAAAAATTGGATGACTCTTAACTTCTTGCGTTTAAATCAAGACAAGATGGAAGTTCTCATCTTTGGACCAGAAATCCAGAAAAGGAAATTGCTTAGCCAATCGCCTGACCTGAATGGCATTACATTAATCTCTGAGAACAAAGTAAGGAACCTTGGTATTATCTTTGACCAGGACATGTCATTCAAATCCCAGGTTAAACAGGTTTGTAGGATTTCCTTTTTCCACCTTCGGAATATTGCTAAGATTAGAAGCATACTTTCCAGGAGTGATGCTGAAAAACTAGTTCATGCATTTATTACATCAAGACTGGATTACTGTAATTCATTACTCTCAGGAAGTCCACAGAATGTAGTTAAAAGTCTTCAGCTTGTCCAAAATACTTTTAAGACTAGGCTTAAAACGTTTTTATTTGATAGGGCCTATGGTTAAAATCTGATGTTAGCCTAGATCTGGACAAGTGGGGGAGTAGAGGGAGGTGGAGTGCACAGTCGGTAAAGACGGCTCTCCCTTGCCCTGCCTCCAACATGCCTCCATCTAAATAGGATAGATTATCCAGAGTTATCTCTGTAGTTATGCTGCTATAGGCTTAGACTGCTGGAGGATACACTGACCACTTTTCACACTCTACTGCTTTCTTCTACAATCTGCTCTTTAACTGTATTATTTCCTGCTATTTCAGCTGTTAACTTTATTTTCTCTCTAAGTGTTTTTCTCCCCAGAAGAAGCTACAACGATGTTCTGCTGAGCTGTGGTGGCCTCATGGAGAGGGCCATCGTCTAGCACACTGCTGCTAACCACTAAAACATTCTACCTCTCCTGATAATAACTTTTTGCTTTCCTTGACTTTTGATGTGCTACTACTAGTTTACCCGTTTAATTATAGATCCACTAGGATAAATACAATAAAGTTTATCTCTCGCCAAATAGAATATTTACTAAGAAATCACAATATAACTATAGACACATTACTTTGTCTTTGTGTGTGTGTGTGTGTGTGTGTGTGTGTGTGTGTGTGTGTGTGTGTGTGTGTGTGTGTGTGTGTGTGTGTGTGTGTGTGTGTGTGTGTGTGTGTGTGTGTGTGTGTGTGTGTGTGTGTGTGTGTGTGTGTGTGTGTGTGCGTGCGTGCGTGTGTGTGTGTGTGTGTGTGTGTGTGTGTGTGTTCTGTCTTCTCCATCCCCAGTGAGTCGTGGAGGATGGCTGCTTATACTGAGCCAGGATTCTCTGGAGGTTTCTTCCTGTTAAAAGGGAGTTTTCCTCTCCACTGTCGCTGCATGCTTGCTTAGTATGAAGATTGCTGTATAGTCACTGACACTAGTCAGTGACTCGATGCAATTAGCTGGGTTCCTTATATAGGAAACATTATTTCTGATTGGCTTAATGACCTGACCTGGACTGGAATGTTTATTATGTGAAGGTCCTTGAGACGACTCTTGTCGTGATTTGGCGCTTTATAAAAAACTTGAATTGGAATTTAATTTAATTTAATCAATATTTTTCAGCACCTCTACCGGTCACTATGTAGGTCGATATATAGGTCAGAATGGACCCTTTCTGGGCATTACACTTAGCCACCCGCCAGGCTAAGCGTGGACCCCACCCTCCCTCCCCTAAATTCTCCCCTGACACGGACGATGCACGGCAGCTAAACGAACCGCGGGCCTCCCCATCGCTGATAGTGACGAGAAACAGTAGCAGAGCACAGCAGAAACTCTTGATTTGCCCGCCACTAACTTGTTTCCGGTTAAAAGCCCAGGAAGTGTGCGCCCCCACCCCCGCTCCCACAGACAACAAACGGTAGTGCTAATTCATCTTGCAGCGCAAGGTTAGCACATCATGCCACTCCATTTAAAATGCATGCAGCCATGTTTTCCAACAGAAGTGTGCTGCCACTTCTTCTACAGCCATTTCCGGTATGTTAGATATTTCTGCACAAGTGAAAGTGATTTATTCCATTGGAACCTGTAACGGCTGTAAACACCAATCATCATCAGATACATTTTCTTCAGGCCCCATGAACACAGTCAAACTCGAATCCAAACTATGATCATATTAAACACGTTGTGCACTTGCAGACACAGACACACACCTAGTGTTTCCCAGTGCTGCTGTGGCTACAATGCAGCTCATCACCATCAGTGTGTGTGAGCAACGGGTGAGTTATGATGTCCTTTGGAGTCCTTTGACTCAGTAAGGTGCTTTACAAGTGCTGATCACTATGAACCTCTGATGTAGAACAAACACCAGAAACAAAAACAAACTGTTTCAACATGTTTTATGAAGGTATGCTCACAGATGACAGCGTTTAAGGTGCATCGAGGTTACAGTGACGTTTATCAGAGCCACTGGGAGGAAGCTCAAGTCCAGCAGCGAGGTGAGAAGAGCTAAATTGATCACAACGCTGCTAATGCTAGTTTTCTCTAAGTTGTTCACAGCAAACATGCAGGCAGCCGGTCGGCGTCAGAGAGTGAGTTTAAGGGTTTCCAAGCTGGAACAAAAAGCGTCACTTGAACAAACACCCACAGCGTCACTAACTGCAGGATTAGGCCACATCAATGAGCTGCTGAGAAGTTTCACCACAAGCGGAACCACCAGGTAAGACGTTCATCACAAACTGTGGAGCTAGGTTATGTTTTTCTCCGCCTGCTTTTGCGATGCATTGTGATAACAGACCAGATGCTGACTATGGTGCGCAGGAGGGGTGTGGTGTGATCGTGTCTTCGGCCACGCTGAACGTTCGGGGCAGCAGCCCAGCACAACGTTCATTTGGCCTTCTGTGCCTTCTGTGCAGATTTAGTGACCTTACCACTGGTGGGGGCTTTCTTTTCCACCCCTTTAATCACTCCCACTGCCACTGTCTGGCGCATGTCACGCACGGCGAAACGCCCTGAAGAGAAAGCATCAATAAAGTGTTTCTGGTGAATGTCTAATTCGGAGCCGTCTAGCAGCTCGGAACAGAACTCACCCAGAGGCGGGTACTCGGAGAAGCTCTCCACACACATCGGCTTGCCGGGAATCATATCCACAATGGCAGCATCTCCAGATTTCAGGGACTTGGGATTGTCCTCGAGCTTCTTTCCAGAGCGCCGGTCGATCTTTTCTTTGAGCTCTGCAAACTTGCAGGCAATATGTGCAGTGTGGCAGTCGAGCACCGGGGCGTAGCCAGCACTGATCTGACCCGGGTGGTTCAGGATAATCACCTGCACACAGGAGAAGGTTTAAGGTCACATGAAAAGGCAAATACTCCTTCTGTGACTCCTCCTGATCAGACCTGGGAGGTGAAGCCAGCAGCCTCTTGTGGGGGGTCATTCCTGCTGTCTCCAGCCACATTGCCACGGCGAATATCCTTCACAGATACGTTCTTAACATTAAAACCCACGTTGTCCCCAGGCAGTGCCTCACTCAGGGCCTCGTGATGCATCTCCACTGACTTGACCTCAGTGGTCACGTTGACAGGAGCAAAGGTCACCACCATGCCAGGTTTTAGGACTCCTGTCTCTACCCGACCCACTGGAACGGTCCCAATACCTGATGGAGAAGCAGGTTAGCAACCTAAAACGGTGCATGCAGTTACAAAAGATTTTGTTTGACTTTTAGGAAGTAAGTCCAGAAAGGATCCATAAATACCGTCAACACAGCAGCAACAATTCACAGGTTCGTTTACAAGTCTAAATCACACAACAACAAGCAACTCTTGCCTTACCTCCAATCTTGTAAACATCCTGCAGAGGCAGGCGAAGAGGCTTGTCGGTGGGCCTAGTGGGAGGCTGAATGGCATCCAGAGCCTCCAGCAGTGTGGTGCCGGAGGAACTCCCATCTTTACGGTTGATCTTCCAGCCCTTAAACCAGGTCATCTGTACATAAGACATAGCTGTTTATAGGCAAGTGCAAATGCTAAAGTCCCACCGAACTAGCCTACAAATCTAGACGCACATCTGCTGAAGCAAAAAGATGTTCCTCTGCACTCCATAGGAGCCTCAGCAGGCCTACCACTGGCCTGAGCAGTACTGTGTTATGCCAGTTTCAGAGCTCTATCCATCTGGCGGGCCGGATGATGGGATGGAGCGGAACAAGATGACTACGGCTTGTTTTAAATGGCTCTGGCATCAACTTTGGACTGGTTTGACTTGGGCTTTCAGCGGATAGAGGTAGTTAAGTCATTTGTTTAGAAAACAATGTATTTGCATTTTCTTCAACAGTGTATGGTGGATTGACCCGTTGACTGACATCCGTAGTGGGGACTCCGTCACGTTGTTAGCTGTCCAATCACATGTGGAGACCGTTTGAAAGACAGCCATAGATTCCGCCCCTCGACTGAACTCTGTCTATGTGTCATGGCCAGACTCTTTACTTACATATAGGATGGCTCTGCAGGCTAGGGCTGAATGTTCTCTAAAACAGCTGCTTTGATCATGTGATTGCGTTGTTGGAAGGGAATTTCGAATGGAAAACAATAGCTTGTTTAGCTCTGATCCTGAACCCAAAGCAGACTTCTGCTACTAATCTAATCTGAACAGCAGATACAGATAAGCTCAGTTAACTAGCAGCTAGAATGAGTGAAAGTCCATCGTTAATGCTTTCACAGGAAATGAGAAAATCCAAATGTAAAAAGTTCAGAGGAAGTTAAAAGAAACGTCTCAGCTCTATCTCATTTAGCAGGTCAAAGGTCAAAGTTCAAGACAAAGCCTCCTCTGTGTGAAAAGAACAGTTCTGGGATAGTAAAATTCTATCTGGACAAACAAAACAACTTCTGGAACAACATATTTTACACAAACAAAAGAGGAGTTTTTTACCCACAATGCAAAGCAGGATGTTTGGAGAAAACCTAACAGCTGTCCTCATGGTCATGCAGGCTGTTTCCCTCCTGTCAGTATGTAGGACTTTTTAGAAATCCGTAAAAGTGACAGCTTTACCAAGTACTGGGATGATGTAGGCAATACATCGTTTTTAATTTTTGCTAAGCTTGTCCCCTGCCCCGTAGGGCCCCGTGTTTTCTGAACTGACCACCGTTCAGCATTAACCCACAGCACTATACAGTACAACCGCTTATGAAGAGTGTTTGAGGACACAAGTAGGCCTGAGATTATTTCTGCTTCAGAGTGGACAGGACTTGTCCACTTTGCTCTCTGTCGCTAACTAAACTCACATTAGGGCTTGGTTCCAACATGTTGTCTCCATTCCAGCCAGAAATGGGGACGAAGGCCACAGTGTCTGGGTTGTAGCCAATCTTCTTGATGTAAGTGCTGACTTCTTTCACGATCTCCTCGTAGCGTTTCTGGCTGTAGTTCGGCTCAGTGGAGTCCATCTTGTTGACGCCAACAATGAGCTGCTTCACCCCCAGTGTGTAGGCGAGCAGGGCGTGTTCACGGGTTTGCCCATTCTTAGAGATGCCAGCTTCAAACTCGCCAACACCAGCAGCCACGATCAAAACGGCGCAATCGGCCTGATAGGAGCAAACAAGGGAGGAGGTGAGGAAGTATCAACTACTTGTAGTTTATTTAACTCCTCTTTCCATTTGAACTGTACCTGAGAAGTCCCAGTGATCATGTTCTTGATGAAGTCCCTGTGTCCTGGGGCATCAATGATGGTGACGTAGTATTTACTGGTCTCAAACTTCCAGAGAGAGATGTCGATGGTGATTCCACGCTCGCGTTCAGCCTTCAGCTTGTCCAAAACCCAGGCATATTTAAACGAGCCTTTTCCCATCTAAAGACAGTAAAGGCGATCATTAAGGACACAACACAAAACATGGTTTTAGTTGTCTTTTTTATGCTTATGCCCACGGCTTAGTGCAGATTTACACTAGAAGTGAAATTCAGGTGATCTGTTGGTCCCCTTTAGTTATGCTGCTATAGGCTTAGACTGCTGGAGGACATTCTGGGTTATCCTGGCTCACCCCTTTAGTTATGCTGCTATAGCATAGTTGTGTGGTGAAATTGGTCCTCAGTATTTGACCTATCCCGTGGGGAACTATGAGCTGCAGACAAGGCCGCGCTCTGGAACTATTTGGTGGTTTAACCCCCCCAACCCCTTTAGAGCTGAGCGTCAAGCAGGGAGTAAGTAAGTAAATTTTACTTATATAGCACTCACCACAGACCGAGAATCACAAAATGCTTCACAAAGATCAAAACAAAATAAAACAAGTCATAAAGTCATTCAATCTTAATGATCTTAAAACAGAAATAGATGAAAATCAGAAAAACAAAGTCATCAAATTATAAAATATCATAAAACAAATGAAAGGTGATTACAAATTCGAGTAAAAATAAATAAATAAATAAATAAATTAGGTAAAACAGCTTTCAGTAGAAGGGTTGTCAGCTGTTTATTCCAAAGTCGGGGTGCAACAGTCTGGAAGGAGCGATCACCTCGATCATATCTGGTCTTTGGATCTTCTAGAAGGTTCTGGTGGGTGGACCTGAGGGCTCGGGTTGGAGCATAAGGCTTTAACAGGTCAGTAATATAGGGAGGAGCTTGACCATGTAGAGCATTGAAAGTTCTAGTCAGGACTCTAAACGAACTCTAAAGTTAACGGGTAACCAGTGCAGAGGCACCAGAATAGGAGTGATGTGTGCTCTTCTGTTTGCTCCAGTTAGGAGCCTCGCTGCAGAGTTCTGGACCAGCTGAAGGCGGTCAAGGGCTTTTAGCTAAAACATGTGAAGAGTGTGTTACAGTAATCTAGACGGGAGGAGATAAAGGCATGGAGAACCATTTTAAGTTCATGTTTGGACACCAACCTTTGCTGTTTGGAGATATTTCTTAAGTGATGAACACAGTTTAGAACCCACATTTTTTAGTGGCCTGCAAGAGACGTTGGTTGGTCAAAAACAACACTCAAATTTCTCAAGTTTGACTTGATGGAATATGTTAAATGACCAAGTTGTTGACTAATCAGGGGAAATTATCAGACGTTCAATCTTTCCAGAGTTTACCGTAATTTCCGGACTATAGAGCGCACCCCAATAAAAGCCGCACCAACAAAAAATAAGGTTTTCTACACACACACACCGCACTCAAATCCAAGCTGCGGCGCTGCGGCCACATGCAGGTCTCCGGCGCACAGCGCATGTACGGCCATAACACAAGATAATTAGACAGAAAGACGCTACACGGAGGTTTTCGTTGTTGTTTTAATTCAACAAAACGGATTTTAAACACGGGTGAACGTGTCTGCAAGTTTAGAAAACAGCACTAATAGCTTTCATATTTCTGGATGTTATAAAATAAAAACAGCACTGGCACGTTATTACCGGTAATCTGCATGTTTAGAAGAGAAGAACAGCGCTGACACAGCATTAATAAGCCCTGGATGATTAGAAAATAAAACCTGCACACAAAACATGCCTGGTTAGTAAATAAAACACACTTGCCTACCAGAAGAAGTCATTCGCTCTCATCTTCCTCCTGTGCACTAAAGCCATTAAAGTCCTCTTCTTCAGTGCCGGAGCTGAACAGCCTCAGAAGAGCTTCATCACATACCTTTTCTGTGGCGATGTCAGTGTCGCTGTCCGTGTCGCTGTCATCATCCCCGGGTGAAGCTGGCTTGAACGAGTTCTTCCCGCTGCCGTCTCCAGCGCCGAACCGTGGATTCATTGCCAAGCTTACGTGCGGCAGCACTGTTTCCCTCCTTTACTGCCAGATCGATGCCTTCAACTTAAATGCGGCAACATATGAACTCATACGTGTAGTTACCATGATGAGGGGGTGTGGATTTGAAAAAGGTTCTTCGTCGTGCCGGCTGCTTGCATGTGCTAAATTAAAATGAGCACTTTCTTCCATTTCCACTTTTGACTTCCACCTGTTTCACTTTCTGCTAAAGCGCCCCCTAGTGGCAGGTGAAGGAAAACCTTCAGTAAAGCTGCACCTCATTATAAGCCGCACGGTTCAAAGCGTGGGAAAAAAGTAGCGGCTTATAGTCCGGAAAATACGGTAACTGAAGGAAGTTATCTTTTTTTTCTCTTTATTTGTTTCATTCAAAGTATTATATATATATATATATATATATATATATATATATATATATATATATACATATATATATATATTCATAACAGAGACCACAGCAGATTTATGCCGAATGAATGAGAACTTTAAAAGGGACAACAAAATACAAAACACTGTTAATAGAACAGCTAAAATGCAGGTAGGGAGTCCTTTTAATAAAGGGTGAGAACAGAAGACTCACCTCTGCAGCCTCCTTCTCAAATTTCTCAATCGTTCGTTTGTCAATGCCTCCACACTTGTAGATGAGGTGGCCGGTGGTGGTGGACTTGCCCGAGTCCACATGTCCTATGACCACAATGTTGATATGGAGCTTCTCCTTCCCCATGGTGGCTCAGCCTGGAAGAGTCATAAAGATACAATCAATAACAGCTAGAGCCCTCGAAGATGACGAAAGCCAAACCTGTTGTCAGGTTTGGGATTGCAACCCCAAGAAGGCGCTACACAAACACTATTTAACAGTGTGGAAAAGAGGTGAAGCGTGTGTGAAGCGGGTTAGAACAGGTGGAGAAAAGTGTGTTGTGTGATGAAAGTGTTTCAGGTGTAAAAGGCAGTTGTGAGACCAGCCATGTTGTCTGGTTTAGAGAGTGTCCACGAGGCAAAGACAAGAGGCACAACTGGAGGTTTCAGAACTGAAGATGTTGACAAGGATGGATGTGATCAGGAATGAGTCCAGCAGAGGGACAGCTCATGTTAGATGTTTGGGAGACATGTCCAGAGGAGGGATTACAGAAGGATGCTGAGTTTGGAGCCACCAGGCAGCAGGCTGAGAGGAAAACCAAAACGAAAATGTATGGGTGTGATGGAAGTGGATAGCAAGTTAGCTGGTGTGAAGATGCAGAAGACATGACTAAATAGAAAAGTTGGCTGTGGACACCTGAAGAGCCCAACGAGAAAAGAGATTTTTCTGATCACACCTTCATTGGTATAGATTTTATAATAATATTGTTTAAAAGCATTAAAACATGTTTACTACACATGAAGTTTAGTTAGACCTGTTCTAGGTCAAAGGTCAGTGCTGTGCACAGGACAAAACTTGGTGTATCAACGTGGCAACCCTTCATTTGGCTCAAGTAGCTCTCAGCTTCACAAACCAGCTAACCCTAACTAACCCTCACCCTAAATGTCTGACGTCACAGCAACGCGGCGTGTGCGTGACCCAAGACGACTCGCGTTGCTTTGATGTTTAAAATGACAAGCAGCATGGATTATAGGTGCCACAGACGCGTTTTCCTGATGCTGCTCTGCGGAGCGGAGGTCATGTCTCAGCAGCATCCGCCTTTTCCAGACACAACTGCGCAGTTTCCTCCGCTGTGGCTGCAGCATGATGTGCGTCACAGAAGCTTCCAGCGTGAGGAATAACCGCAGCTGAAACTGCGCCATCCTAGCCGGAGCAGCAGCCCTCCGCACCTTCTGTTGTTAAATAACAGACAACACTGCAGCTGCATTTACATGACACGTCCCTGGTCACCAGCGACAGTGCGCATCTGAGCAGAGGCGACGCACAGGAAAACGAGCTCCAGCCTACCTTTACCTGTGAGATGGGCGCACTGGTCCACCTGGAGGAAACCGGAGACGCGGCTGTTTGTTGTGCAGAGCGACTCTGACGTAGACGAGCCGGTGATGCGGTGTCAAACGCTGTCAGATGCGTCAGTTACTGAAACTGTGCAGATCGGCCACTAGATGGCGCTCTGCTGCAAGATAGTCAATCCAACTCACGAGGCTGAAGTTCGCTTCCGATTCCGATTCGGGAAACGGCTAAAGGGCCATTACACCCAGTTTTTCTCTGCTCTGACCATCTTTAATCTGCTCCAGCTCAAAACTACAACAGCCACACTGTTCAAACCTGTTCTAGAGTATTCTACAATAATACCAGACTGCACACAACCTTGTTTGGGATTTGTGAAACCTTTCCCTGATTTGTGAAACTTCAACAAAGCCTGATTTATGCGGGGGGGGGGGGGGGGGGGGGTGTTCAGCATCTGGACAATACTGGAACAGCTGTAGCTCAAAAACTACAACAGCCACACTGTTCAAACCTGTTCTAGATTATTCTATAGTAGCAGATCAAATAAAACACAGTGTGGGATTTGTGAAACCTTTCCCTGACTTGTAAAACTTCAACAAAGCCTTAAAAATTCACACAAATGCTAGATCAGAGTAGGAATAGGCAAGGTGAACCAGAGTCTGAAATTAGGAAAATTTTCTGTGGAAAATTAGTGAACACATGTTATTAAAAAGCACAATAAATCTTGAAAAAGGTTTTCTAATGAACCGTTTTATGTAACACAGGCATCAGCAAAAGCACTCGAAAAGGTCCAAAGGCTAACCAGGGCTGAGGCAGTGGAAAAGATTGAGCATGGTGAGATGGATGAGAGGTAAGACAATCTGAGTCACTGAAAGATATCTGCAAGAAAAAGATTTTTGTATGTCTTTGGGAATGGAGAAATATATAATACCTGAAAAATTCCTTTTTTGCAGCGAAAAAGCGGAACTTCTCATGAAACTGAAAACAGAAATGGAGAGACGTTCAATTCTCTGAAGTTCTCTGGAATGTGGAGAATAAAAAGGTTTGAGGCTGAATATTTCTGCTGGTTTTGAATTAAGACACTCAAACATCAAAGTAATTTTTGCATACTGTAAATCCTCTAATAGAGGCCCGGGCCTGTATTTGACTCAAGCTCATCAAGCTCCAGGCCTTTATTGGAAGGAGGATCAGAATTAGAGGCAGGCCTCAATTTCTATTTGAGCAAAATGAACTAATGGTTCGCTGGAGTTTTTGACAATTAAAATTGCGCCCACATTTTCAAAGTTAAACACATTTCTTTTAACAACGGTAGTTTCTGCTTCAGCCCTCTCCCCCCTCCCCCTGCTTCAGCCCTCTCCCCCCTCCCCCTGCGCAGCAGCCGCAAACTCACTGATGCGCCTGCAGCCTCTCGGAGTTCCTGCTGCTCTAAACATTAAAATAATTATTTCATTTTCTGTTCCTCACTTCTGATGACCTTCAATGGTGTCTGTTTGTTGCAACCAGCAGGTACAAAAACTAACTTGTTTTTATTTGACTATTTTTCTGTTCTGCCTGTTTATTATCTTCCTGCATCTCCTCTCAGTCCTAAAGAGAAACTGCTACCTGGGTTCATATATATTCACCTCATGAGTTACCTTTGAACTGCAGTTCTAAAAGATCTACCGACCGCTAAAACAGCGGAGTGCTCGCCGGCCACAGTGAGGTGCGTCACCGAGGACAAAACAGGTGATGCGCCCTGCTCCACAGCAGCGAAACGCATCAGGCACAAATAAAAGAATAAAAGACAGAAAACATAAAAGGAAATGAGTCGGCATGAACAATTGCGTGTTAAATTAGTTTTTGAGGTGGCGACACCTGATGTGATAATGTTACTGTGGCCGTGCTCAGGACGCAGATGTCTGGAGCGCGTCAACAATCAGAGCTTTGCATGCGCAAGCTGGTTAAGGTTAGGATGGGGGTGAGGGGAAGGTTAAATTGCAAGAGGGTAAAGGTCACAATTTGGTTAAATGTCCGTTTTACGGCGGGTGTCGGTACCGACGCCCTGGCACAGCGCGTTGCCCCCCCGAGCGCAGGAGCTCGTCACCTGCTGACAGCAGGCTGCTGTGTTTTCCGACAGTGTGTAAGTGTGACACGCAGCTGGAGGTGTGACATCACAAAATTCTGCTGTTTCTTATCTGGAAACTACGTCTTGGGTGTAATGGCCCTTTAGCCGTTTCCCCGAATCGGAATCGGAAGCGAACTTCAGCCTCGTATCCGTAGAGGTTGCATTTTCACTGAGATGATGGATCAAAATGTGCAGATCTGCATTAAAGTGCATCTGTGCTGAAATTAAATCAAAAACTTTATAAAATCATTTTGGATCCAACTTTTGTTCTTCAGCTTTTAATTTAATTCTAAAATAAGAAATCATTCATCATTCTGTGAGTTTTACTAATTATTTTCTGAATCTGCAAACTCATCAGAACTGTTGTTTTTGTTGTTAGCCTGACTTATCAGCGTCCACGTTAACCTGAGCCGGTTGTTGCAGGGAACAGAAACGCTGCAGTAAAACAAATCTTCCACATTGTATTTTTGCTTTAAAGTCACTGAAATATCAGAACACCAAACAAACGTTATCCTGGATAAAACCAATGCTGGATCCTGGATCTGCGTGAAAGAATCCCTAGACCTACATAGCTATAAAAACAAGCGAACTCTAACCCTTAGAAGCACACCTGCTAGCTTTAAACACACAAACTAGCTGTAGACCTTACTGGTTTAAAACATAATCAGACATACGCCATCTAACTAGCTGCAAACTTACTAACTAGCTCTAAAACTCACTAGTTGTGAACATCCAGTTCTATCCAGTGTCTGATAAGTGACTTTTGTCCTCCTCCTCACAGAATCGACTTAATGGGACATCACTAAAGATTTAAGGATCTTTTCTAATCACTAAATGAAATCAATAAGTGATGCTGACATGTCGCCATCACCCAATAATCACAACATTCCATCAAATTCCCACCAAAAAAACTGCAGGAGTCAGGAAGTGTCAGTCTGACTCTTTTTATTTTCCAACACCAGCTTTGAGCTTCTTCATGATAAAAACAAAAAACAGAAACAAAGTTGTTTTAAACTGGTTTCAGAAAAAGACCGGCATTAATAGGTCCAGTAGTAAGTCCAGTACACAAAGATGACATCATCGTAACTTTAGGGAATATAAAAATAACTTTACATAAAAAACAATCCACAGTTGGCCAGCAACTGTAGTCATAAAAATATGTTTCACAAAAGTTTTTATCAAATACGGACGACTAGGTTTAATCTGGGCACTGCTCTGGGTTACAGCGTTCCTATGAAAGCCTCTGAAGGACCGCCGTTTAAGTGAACGTATTTAAAGTGGAGTTTAGCCTCAGCCATGAGGAACTGCCGAACTTAGTCAGGCTGAAACAACTGGAGCCATCTTTCAGAAACCGCTCTCCGTTTAGAAGCAAAACAACAAGATGCTGTTTGTCCACACGATCAGACATCCTCAAATCAACCTTCACAAACACACAAGCACCAACAGAAAACCATGAGATGTCTTTATTCCGCCGGCAGACAGTTTCCGTTCTGCATGATGGCTGGGGTGCAGAGGTTCAGGTTGGACACCCTCCTGTAGACGAAGTGGAAGGTGTGAGCGAGCGGCCGGCTGTGCAGCCCGGCCTTGATCAGCTGGGGGTGTGTGTCCGGAGCCAGCTGCTGGCTGGTGTCCTCGTCCACCAGGAACATGGCGTAGTTCTCCGGGTCGGGGATCTTAAACTTGTAGGCGCAGAGCGAGCAGACCTCCTCTATGGTGGTGTAGGGATTCACCTGCAGGGTTTTAGCCGTGCAGCCTGAGCCCACCTCCTGCAGCGCCACGCGGAGGAAGTTCTGCAGAACACAAACATCGGCTGTTAACCGTGAAGGCAGTGAGAGTGAAGCGATGATGGCGTACGAGGGTGGGTGGAAAAAATGGCAATAGATAAATAAAGACGTGGGGGGGGGGGGGGGGGGGGTATTTCTGTTGTATATTTATAGGCGAATATTTAAACAACCCTACATTTACAGGAAAAAAGACACACACACACACACACACACACACACACACACACAGTGACCCTAACTCAGGGATTCAAGTGCAGGAAATCTGAAGACATGCAGCTCTTCCACCAGGGGGCGCTATCGCTGTTTATTCCTTCATGCATTTTCAGTTCACTTTGATTTGTCACAACTTTGACTCACTGCCTGGACGTTCAAGGTGGGCTCAGCTCAGGTGAGATACCTGGAAGTCGTCCACAGACGGCACCGAGCGCTGGGCGGTTCGCCGGCGGTGCCACTGGTGCAGCGTGTTCCGGGCCTCGGAGCTCAGAACACGGGCCGCCTGCTCTTCCTGGAAGTTCTTAATGAGTGCCATGGCCCCATAGGCGCTGGTCAGGTAGTACCCACCTGAAGGAAAACACTTTTCATTTGTTGTGATTCATAAAATAAAATATTAGGCGTGTTTTTCATTTTGGTTTATTTGAGCCTTTACGTTTTTCTAAACGACATCTTAACTGTCTTTGTGCTTGTAATGCTTTTGTTTTGCAGCTTTGTTTCGTAAACGAACTTCTTCAAAGGAAGTGACATAAACGGGCTTAAAGAGAACCCGATCAGCTGATCTGAGTTATGAAGAAAAAAAACAGCTGATTCCAGAGGAAATGTTTCCCTTTTCTCCTGAACAGAAGAGGTGAGATCCTTCCTGTGGTTCTGACTCAGAAAGGCACTCACGCGAGCGCGGGGGTCACCGTTCACTAAAGATGTCTTTGTGGTTTCATTCAAAGATCTGTGAGGAATTCCTACCTTCTCCTTGGAGCAGAGACGGGTCCAGCAGCTCCATCATGTACTGGATCTCCGTGTCCAGCTGCGGCATGTTGCATTGCGCCACCACGTATGTCAGCATGGGCAGGAAGTCGTCGGCGCCGTACATCCTTCCTGTGAGGAAAAACGCGCAGGTGAAACGGGGTCTGATGGAAGGACACCGTTGAGACTCTAAAGGTGAGACTTCTCTGTACCAGAGTTGTCCTGCATGATGGTGTAGATGAGTTTACACACTCGCAGCAGCAGCGACACCTTCTTCTCAGGTGAGTACACCTTCCTCATGTTCAGGAACTTCTGTCGGATTTTCTCGATGGCCACCGAGTCGGGGGGCACAGCGCCGTCCACGCCCATCTCCTGAGGCCTCTTGGTCTTGGCCACAGCCAGGTTCTCCCTGAGCTGCTGCAACGCCCCGCTGCTCACCTGCAGCAGGTAAACGGCTTCATCAGAAATGAGTTCGTCATTTACAGTGTGGGGAGGGGGGCTCGTCTCTCACCTGGAAGTCCTGCAGAATCGCCTCAATGACACTCTTCAGAGGTTTCAGGACACATTTGTGCATGGCTGTCTCTAGAACTCGGTCTGAACAGGAACACACACACACACACACACTTACATAAAAAGACAGTTTCCAGATAAGAAACAGCTGAACTTTGTGATGTCACACCTCCAGCTGCGTGTCACACTTACACACCGAGGAAGTCGGTGTGTACAAACAGAAACCTCTCCGTCACGCCGGAGTAAATCCTAAAACTTCCTCCTCTGAGACAAAAATAAACCCTAAAACCAAACAGTGACTCTGAACCACTGACCTTGAGTTTACGTCATAGTCTGTGGAGGAACGTTTCAGTAAAACACGCCAAAAACATTTCAAATGTGGAAATATCTTTTAAAGTTTTCACATTAACTGTGTTATAGTTTAATTTTAAGGCGGTTGAGAAAGAGTGAAACGAGGTCATCTAGTGGGGGCACCAGGTATTACAAGGCCAACCAGGAAGCTCGGGTCAAAGCCAGTTAGCCTAAGCGGCATCGTCTGTGAGTGCTGTGCGTTTCTTCTGTTTAATCATGTTAGCTGAAGACTGAAATCTACATTTTGTGTTGAATTTGTAATCTTTTGACTTCCTGTAAAGTGGTCGTGTTTCTGTACTTTATGTTTTTCAGCCTTACACGTGCCTCGTTAAACCCGGCTAGAAGAAACTTTGGAGTGATCTTGTGGACGAATGAAGGGTCAGGGCTACCCGTATAGCTGAGGTATTGTCAACTGAAGCAGTGCTCAGCCAGGCGGGACATTAACATTTAGAAATATTATTTTTTATGCAACAATCATATAAGTTTGTTCCTTTACACTTTCTGAATTTAAACAACTAAGAAAAGAATCAGAAATATATATGAGTGAAATTAAATTTGTATTTTTTTTTCTGCCAAAGCGAACAAAATGACCTCACTGAGCCATCTAACCCCAAATGTCTTTAACCCATCAATGGGGGTTCCAACAGTTATTTTTAACAAATTTAACAGTTTCCCTTACGGTGGCCCAGAAGGTCCAATGAAGTCAAAAAGCCACACAAGCAGCCACCAACGTAATAATAAAACAGAAGGAGAAAAAACGAGCTTGTTGAACTGAACTTCTGCTGACTCCACGTATTTTGACTCCTGCCATGTGGAAACGTGTCAGCTCCCGACTCTGTTACCTGGTCTCCTTCTGTCTGCTGTAGGGTTTCTACCAGGTAATCAAACACGGAGACGCAGCTGTTTAGGTTCAGCGAACTTTTACTTTCCGCTTCAACTCTTCACCCAACAGTAACACACACGTGACACTAGTGCCCCCTAGTGATCACAGTCCTAACAGCATGTACATTACAGTCCAATCCGCCACATCCCTCTTCCAGAACAAACTTGATTAGCATAACTTCACTTTATAACCATCCATTAACTTAAGTGTTAACTCACGTGTGTATTTTCTGCAGTCATCGTGTTCTACTGAAGTATTTCAACATTACATTCTCTTATTAACTGCATTTTACTAAATGACTTTTATCCAAGATCCTTCCTATAATTCCTCACAGTTTACCTTTTTTTCTTTATTTTTTGTTTGTTTCTTTAACATAACTAAGCAAACTTGCAGAACATATGTCTGATAAATGTCCGTTCACTCGTCAAACCTGGCAGGACGCCTTACCGCCCGGCCACTGCGTGTATAACAAGTTGGCACACGTTCTCCAGCTGCAGGAGGAGGAACATTCTGTTCCCTAGGTGGCTCATCGGGGAAATGTTCTTCTGGGTCAGACTGTTCATCCTCAGGAACCTCCTTGAACAACCTGGGGTGGATATTCCTCAAGTGTCTGTTTCTCCTGAGCATCTTTCCTTCCGGGGTTTGAACCACGTAGGATCTCGGTTCCTTCCTTCGCTGGACAACAACTGCTGGTTCCCATCCCGGCTGTGTGTGCATGTGCACTGTGTCACCTGGGGATAACACTGGCAGTGCGTTTGCACGTTTATCTAAGTGTTGTTTCTGGCGTAACTGCATGTCTCTTATTTTGTTATGGATGCTGTGTGGGGGATGGATGATGGAGCGCAGCACTGGAACATGGCGGTGTGCTGCGGAGGACTCTTCCCATCAACATTTGTGCAGGTGACATGTTCAGTCCTGTAATCGGTGTACTCCTCAGAGACAGCAGAACCAGATGTGGGTCTGTACCAGTTTGCAATGCGTTCTTCAGAGCATGTTAGACCATCTTTATGGCTCTCAGCCATTCCGTTTGAGGATGGAAAACCTGGGCTGGAGAAAGTCAGCTTTATATCCCACTTCATTGCAAATGATGGGCATGTCAACGATGGCTTTGATCTTTGTGTCATCGGCTTTCTGACCTGCTGCTGTGATGATGTGCCCCATGTACTTCACAGTGTCCACTTTGAACTGGATCTTATCCTTGTTGGACCTCACATTCCCATCTTTCGCCCTCTCCATGACCTTTTGTAAGATGTTGTCATGTTCTGATTCTGTTTCCGCTGCTATGATCATATCATCAGCAATAATGAACACACCAGGTATGTCACCAAATGTTTCACAGTTCTTTTGCTGAAAAACTTCACTGGCTGATTTGATTCCAAATGGAAGACTTAGGAAGCGGTACCGGCCCCAGGGCGTGTTGAAGGTGCATAGCTTTGAAGAAGACTCATCTAACTTAATCTGCCAGTTTCCGTCCTTCTCATCCAAAATGGTGGCGATAGATTTACCTGCCAGCCTGCTGCGGACATCCTCGTGTGTGGGGAAGGAGTAATGCTGGCGTTTGATTGCCTGATTCAGGTCACCAGGGTCCAAACACACCCTAAGTGTACCGTTCTTCTTTTGAGTGGCAACTAGACTGTTCACCTAGTCTGTGGGCTCATTGACAGGTGTCATTACTTCTCTGTCCTGTAAGCCTTTTAGTGTCTTTTTGAGTGAGTCCATTATAGAGAGAGGCACACTTCTGCATGCATGAATGACCGGTGTGGCTTCTGGGTCGATGTATATGTGATGAAGTCCAGGGAACTCACCTAAACCTGTGAACACCTCAGCATATTTTTCCACCAGTTCTTCCTTTGTTGTTGGTAGCTTGTCCAGCGTGTGTGACTTGGGTGTGAGCACATCCACTCTTTTCACCAGTTGCAGCTCCTCACATGCCTGCCCACCTGAGATGGCTTTGTCCGCTTGTCTGGACACAAGGAAGTCGAGCACAGCACTACCTTTGCTAGTTACACAATCAAGAGACACAATACCTTCAGCACGTATACGAGCTCCACCAAAAGCTATCAGCACAGTCTTTGTAGATCGAAGCTGAACAGGACCTGGTATTTTGTGGTAAACCTGCATGGGAAGCACATTTGCATCAGCGCCTGTGTCTAGCTTGAAAACGATTGGCACTTTCCTTATTGTGACCGTTTCTTTCCAACAATTTGTCTCATTTTTGTCACTGCTCACCACACCTATGTACAGGGTGTCCATGTCAGCTTCCACGTTGTTCACCCTCTTTGTTCTGGTGTATGGCTTGTCCCTGTCAATGTTAGATCTGCACAAGTTTGAGAAGTGATCTTTTTCTTGCACTTGTGGCATGTTTCTCCATACGCCGGACATTTTCTTGGTTCATGTTTAATTCCACACTTGGTACAAACTGTCTGTTTGTTGCTGGCTTTAATTCTACCTTGTCCTGGTCTTAGGTTATGGGATGTTTTCTTCAACGTGTCCACTGAAGCGTCCTGGACTACTGGGTTCAATTGCATTGCTTGGATCTGTGTCTTTGCTGCTTCCGCTGACCTGCAGATTTCAATGGCTTTGTTCAGAGTAAGGTCTTTGTCGCGAAGCAGTCTCTCTTTCAGACGTGAGTCAGTTATGCTGAACACCAGCTTAACTCCCATCATATCATCTACATTTTGACCAAACTCACAGTCCTTGCGTTTTTGACGCAGTTCAGTAATGTACCTGTCCACCATAATTCCTGGTGACATTGGGTATGACCAGAATCGATGACGTTCAAAAACCACATTCTTCTGCGGGCGACAGTATGTTTTGAATGCTTTCAGGACCTCCTCCACTGTGAGTGCATCTCCGGCTGGGGTAATGTTGAGTGTGTTGTACACTCCTAAGGCCTCCTCGCCAATAGCGTGAAGAAGAATGGCTATTTTTACCTCTTCCTCCTTTTCTGATGCACCAGTGGCTATCATGTAGAGCTGGAACCTCTGTTCCCACCTGCGCCATGCCTCAGATAGATTGCCAACGAGACCGAGTGGAGACAGCGGCCTAAACTGCTCCATTTTATCTTCTTGCTAGCAGACGTTAGCCCCGATGCTAGTTCATCTAGCTTACTCAAACCGTCGTCTCTGTTGTCTCGGCAGCCAAACTTCTGACACCATGTTGTGTTACCTGGTCTCCTTCTGTCTGCTGTAGGGTTTCTATCAGGTAATCAAACACTGAGACACAGCTGTTTAGGTCCAGCGAACGTTTACTTTCCGCTTCAACTCTTCAACCCAACAGTAACACACACGTGACACTAGTGCCCCCTAGTGATCACAGTCCTAACAGTATGTACATTACAGTCCAAGACACCACAGATTCACTTCTCCAGTGAGAGTTAGCAGCTCAGGCTGGCAATAGCATTAGCTCAAGCTATCGTTGTTCTATAGTTAGCATTGCCGTTACCAACTTTTATACAATGCTGAAGTGGGTTGGGTCATTCAGATTTAAAAAGGTGTGTCTAGGCTGATTTGTTAAAGTTTAAGTCCCATCAGTCGTCACACACGGGTGAATTCTTTCTCCACATTTGGCCCCTCCCCTGTAGACACGGCCACGCTCAGAAACCATTTGGTGATTTAACCCCGGATCTAACCCCTTAATGCTGAGTGTCAACGGGAGGTAATGGTCCTGTTTTTAAAGTCCTTGGTATGACCTGATTGTGGATTTGAACCCACGATCACCCAGTCTTAGGGGGGGACACTCCTACCACGAGGCCACTGAGCATCTTTTCTCACAAGTAACAGTTTCTCAGCCTCCATTCTCACGTGATTTACATAGGAAAGCAGGTCAGAGACAGCACAGACTTTTGTTCCGTTACACAACCCAAGCTACCCTCATCTTTAATGCAACTCCACTGGAAACACTTGATGTAGTTAAGGTACCACCATGACTTCTGTTTTAGCATAAATCTTGGATAACCACATGTAACCCAGCAAAGGTCCTTTTTTCTCTTCTTTTACCTGTGTTAAATTCTATTTGTGCTTTTATTTTGAAAAGAAACATTTACCTTGAAAGGAGGAAGTCAGATCCGTTTCTTCCTACTTTGTTTCCTGTTGTACGGCTTTTTGCACTTGGACACGAACGAGAGCGGTGGTACACGAGCTGGAGCAGCCGAGCGACGGAGTCCACTGCTGCGTCCATACTGATGCCTCACCTTGGCTAAGTTTTTATCCGTGCTGATTAAGAACCGGATCGGATTCCTGGATTCTCTCCGGATGGAGATGGCGAGCCTTTGCCCAGAACCCAAAGACACTTCGATTGACGACTCGTCACTCTTCTCACTGAATGTGAACACCAGGTGGTAACGACTCAAACCACTGAACCAGAAAGAGCTGAAACGGACAACGCTTTGACTTGACTAACGACTAAAAGGACAACTCCACTGTTGAGTTCAAAATAAGGCTGGGGTTTTATTTGGTTTGTTTTTTGGGCCGGCTCAGAGTTGTTGATCAATGTTCAGATTCTATTCTCATTTCACATTTTTCTAACTAAATATTTTCCATTTTTGCTCATTTCCTGCCTCCTGCCGTTTCCTTTTGCACCCACCTTAGTCCCTATTGTAATCCCGCCGAGCCTAGCTGCTGGTCTACCTAAACATTCCTGATCGAAGCTATCTAACTGCGTCCGGGGTTACACACAACCATCATTTTCTGACATCATCTGATTTGTTATTCCATTGCAGCTTTAGTCGTTGTGTCTTGTTTATTTTTAACCATCTGAGCCACCGTACTTTCATGCACATGGCATAAATCTAGAAATTTCCCATATTTTTCTGGCATTTTAACACAGCAGCTCTGTTTATATAGATGTTTTCATCGATGTGGCTCTGACACTCGAAAACATGATGACTTCAGCCGAACGTCTTCGTTTATTTAGTTCCTGTTCCATTAAATCCTCGGTTAAAGTGTAAATGATTCACCAGAGGCTGGCCTCGAAACCACACACACACACACACACACACACACACACACACACACACACACAGTGTAAAACTGATGCAACTATTCGTGCAGCGTGATCATCTACAGCCCCCATATGTTTGCACGAGACACCAACTGTGTGTATTGCGACAGCAAACACAAGCGAGCATGTGCAGACATCACTTTAGTACTAAGAGACTCTTCATGGTGAGTCAGAAGAATTTGATGGAAGTTCAGGAGGATTTCAGTTCACTTCCATGAACACGACAGCCCTCCTCACGTCTGTACAGGTGCTGTGGGTTTCCACAGGAATGTGCTTGTCTGTTCGTTAGCAGCAGGAAGCCTAGGGGCGTTTACAAACCCAACCCAACCTCTTTGGTTTTCCTAGTTCTCTCCAGAACACCTCATTTCCATTATTCACTCAGCCGCGTTTATAATCAGATTTCGTCTGAGATAAAAACTGATCAGAAAGTGTGCTCGGGCTCAGTAAGTTCACAGAAACACGCAGAGACGAAAGAAGTCAAAGAAAACTGAACGTGTCCTCCTACAGCCTGAATTAGGAAACATTTCCTCCTCATCCACATCCTTCCTCTCCTCCAGATATGACCTGAAGCATGACAATCTATAAACACCTCCTGGTCTTCCTGCTTCCTCACTGAAAAGGTCACACATCTTAGCATCAACGCACGCCCTGGTCTTCGTGTGAAGAGATACTCCACCGAAGCAACTTTTCCTTCAAAAACGTCCTGATGGACATTTAATCAGAGACGAATGAAAGCCTGAAACAGGATTCCTATTCCCTCCTCCTTCCAGAAGGAAAACCATGAAGAGTTTTATTATCCGAGTGGATTTCAGCAGCGTTAGAATAAATCACGTCCCTGAGTGGGAACAAAGCTTCACTGTTATTGTTTACAATGAGCAAGGGATGTGAGAAGTGTGCAAACGCATATATTCGTGCAGAGCGAGTCCGCTCTGGTCCACAACATCAGGAAGTGAAACACTCCGATTAAGATTTGTATAAAAACAAGATAGTTTGAAAGGTCTTGGCTCGAGGGGCTTTTACACTGAAAGGGTGGCTTAATATTTTGCATAAAATCATCCCGTCTTAATGTCTGCTGACACCAACAAGTTGTTGCATTTTAGTGTTTTATAAAGTTTTTCCGAGTGACTTGATGAGATGATTTACCCAAACCGGGTCACAGGTTGTCTAACCCAGAACTGTTTCCTTCTGAACACCAGATTATTTTTTGGTGCAGTTCCAAAAATGTGGTGAACTTCACCTTCAGGTGTGATTTCCAAACCGTTTTTACGTTTTCCAAGGAAGCTACTTTTTAGTTTAAGTTTTCGAGGAAGAAAACGTGTTGAGCAGCGAACAGCCAGAGAAAAAACATAAGCAGAACATGACATGATGTTCCCACGGAGGCAGGAAAACAAGAGGTGCCTGAAGCCCCAGTACAACTCACCGATCTGGTCTTCTGGTATGAGCGACTCGATGGGGGGGTCGAGCTCCGAGCTCTGACACAGGTAAGCCTTCATCTGGGTCATAAATTGTCTGACAGTCTGCAGGAAGTCCATCCCTGAGGTGTGACAGCTCCGGTTCTCCTGAACAAAGCTGATGTAGTCCTGAACCAGGGAGCCAAAGTATGAGCTCTTGTCCCGGGACAGCTCGGCGATCCGTTTGACGGTCCGTTTCTCCGGGGTCATGAGGGAACTCAGCATCCCGCTCACCTTACTGAAGCGTCCCTTTAGAGACCTGGGCAGGTCAAATGACCCCCCGCTCAGACTCACGCCGACTCGGCGCCTACGGGATTTAAGGACTGGACGAAGTCGAGTTTCGAGGTCCGCCTCCAGACCAACACCGTAGTCCTCGTCTTCCTCATCTTCCCCATCCGCATCATCTTCACTGCTGTCTTCCACCGGGTCTTGGTGGAGTTGGGAGGGCGTTGGGGCCAGATCCAGAGAGTACCCGGGGGACCGAGAGTATTCCAGGGAGTCAGAGGACGACGTGGACATGCTCATGTCACTGAGCCGCTGGCGTCCCCTCTCGCGACCTGCTGGACACTCTGAGTTGATCTCTGATGGTTTCTCAGTCGCAGGTGGAGGCTGGCAGCGGGGCAGGTTGGCCCGGGACAGCGCCTTGGCGATGGTCTCATCATCCAGAGCAATGTGGCAGCGGAGAGCTTCCAGATCAGGTTTCTGAGGTCGTGGAGGCCGCGGGTTTGGTGAGGTGCTGCTTTTGGATGGACTGCTTGATTTGACACCTGTTGATGGTCGAGGTGGTGCTGGACGTCTGTTGGACGACGGCGGCCTGGTGATCACGGCTTCCGGCATGCTTTTTGGTCTGCTGGTAGCCTGTGCGGGCCCGGGTGGAGGTGGAGTGGGCCGGCGACGAAGCATTGAGCGAGGGGGTGGAGGGCGAGGAGGAGGGGGGCGTGATTTGCCTTTAAGTTTGTTCTGATCCCCGTGGCACTCGTCGCTCTGGCCGCTGCCCACCGGCTTTAATTCTGCCGTTTTCTCTGGTTTGGAGCCTAAAGGTGGGTCGTCTTCCCAGCTGTGGGGGTGAGTCTGCAGGAAAAGGGGGTTAACAAAACAAAGGGGTCCGCCGGAGTAACTCCCCTTGCCGTGAGAGGATGGTGGAGGAGTGTGGGGCAGCAGGGTGGGAGGCGCGCTGTCACTGTGAGTGGCGGTTTGACGCTGCCGCGACCCTTCGACCTCCTCGTTCCTGTTGGTCCGCTTAGGGCTGAGGGTCCGGCTCAGAGGGCGGCGGGGGTGGGGGGAGGAGCGTGGCTGACTGCACAGGGCAGAGTCCCAGAAGCCTGGAAAAGACACAGAGCGAGTTACTCAAATATCAACAAGACAAATGCTTCACCAGTGAGGACACATCCTGAAACAGCAGCCAGAACTTGGAATCATTCAGTTCCGTTAAACTGGATAAGGGAATGCTGTCGACACCGGTACTCCTTACCCACAAAATGTTCCTTCAGTTTGTCAGTGTGTCCTCTGCCTGCCTGCGTGGCTGTTTTCCCTCTGCCTGGTAGAGCGCTGAATGCGCTGGCTCAGATTCACTAAATGCCGACACTCAAGAGGGAGTTGCCCATGCTAATAGCAGAGGGGGAGGGCACTGAACGCACCACAAAGCAAACAGTTCCTGCTCCACCACTCCCCACTTCCTGCATTCAAGTTCCCTGCAGCTCCTGACTGAGTAGTTTCAGGATCTTTCATTTACATTTTTGTTGTCATTTCATATCAGGCTAACGCTGTTACCTAAAAGTCAGACAAATGTCTGAGTTGAAGTTGTAATTTACAAGGCGTGGGCCTGGGGGTGACTAATGCCGTCTAAAAATGGAATCATTAACTCATAAGTCAGAGACACTACAGCAGGCGGCTTCAGCTGGTGGAACATTTCAGCTGTCGGATAAAATCTCAGCATCCAGACACTCAAACTCCCTCGAGTGGACCGGAACAGCAGACGGCCCGGCTTGCTTCACACTGCCTCACCAAACGTACAGCCCGACTCTACAAAGATGAGCTCAGTTCCCTTTTCCTCTGAAACCAACAGATTTAACTGTAAATTCATCAAATAAGAGATAAGATCAAGCACCAACGCCTTCTTCAGGTAAAATTTGTCTTGGAAATTTGAAGAAAAACCAGAAACAGCAGAAAACGAAGCAACAGACTCCCTGGATTTCCCTAAAGCCGGGCGTACACTGTGTGACTTTTTCACTTTTTTGAGCCGATTTCCAGTCGTGCGAGAATCCACGACATCGGGGCGAGTTTAGCGCCGAGCGGTCGTGTAGTGTACAGGGGGTTACGAGAGGCGATTAACACCACGTGACCAGCTGCCGATCAGCAGTCGTGAGGTCGCACGGACTTCTGGAGTGTTTAATATTTCGCTCGTCCCTCGTGAGGGTATCTCACTGTTGAACCGGCGCTGCGAGCAGCTGCGACCCAAAAAGTACCAGAACCGCTCACGGCGCATGCGCAATCCTGCATCAACACCGCTCGCCCGCTATTTCCCTAATAACACACGCTGTTCGTTTTTGTTTCTACACTTTTTTTTACTCACAAAGATCGTCAAGAAAGCGTGTTTGTCGTGTTCATGTCAAATTAAACTGATCACTAAACACAGATTTACTTTCTTTATTTCGTTTTCCTCATCCAACCCCCATAAATCCCTGTGTGTCCTCCTGCAGCACTCCCGAAGGACAACAGGCAAAACAAGACAAAAAAGTCTGACGTGTTGAGTAAAAACTGCTATTTTTAGCATATTTTTAGGTCCGACGTGTCGCTACCAGACGTACAGTGTGAGCAGTCAGGTCGCATCCGAGAACTGGGTCGTGCAGTGTGAGCACACGACTCGTGAGATCTGCCCTGCGAGGAAGTCGTACAGTTTGAGCTGAAGCTGAGTGCTACGAGTGAAAAAGTCGCACAGTGTCCGCCCGGCTTAAGGTAATCTTGGATTGATAAAATTACCCAACATGATGGGTGGATGAATTTCTAGTTTCTGTGTCTGTTGGACAACTGCAAGTCCATTATTCTAGGGATGTCCCGATCCGATCACATGCTCGGAAATCGGCCCGATCACATGGTTTCAGACTCGATCGGGACTCGGGCTTTACTTCCCGATCCGGACTCGGATACTGGGTTCAAATTACAGGAGAGCAACTTGGTTCTCCTTAAAGGTTGTCAGGCTCCCCTGATGTCCTTAGCTTACACACCCAGAAGGAGCACAAAGAGATCCAGTTTCTACCTGTATTGTATGATTTATATGGACTCTAATTGTTCATCAACTCCAGCTGCGTTCTGCACACGGCCACAGTGCAACACATTCTCACACCCTAAGCGTCGGAAACAAGCGCTTGGTCAGCCACCCTCCACGTCAGACCCCAGACGCCAAAAGTGCCCTTTTTCGTTACTTATGTGCAAAAAGGGGTTTTTCCTTTTGTAACTGCAGATCCCAACGCAGCGTAAAACTGACGTGATTAGATATCCGCTGATGCGGCACCGAACCAGCTCGTTTAACCGCACCTAAACCTTAACGTTTCACTATTTATAACCTTCCCCTCTCCCTCCTCCTAACCTTAACCCTCTTGCTACCTAAAACGTTACTCTCACTGCGATCAAGCATTTGTTTCCCGTGCATTCTGACTCTGACAGTCAGAGTCTGACTGTGAATTTTCGTATTTGCCGCCCAAGGGGAACGTTAGAACATACCATCTGGCGAGGGGGAGGTTACACATACCCTCTACTTTTAACCTCCACCGTGGTAGTTGAAACCTCCCCCTCACGTTGGCTCGGTCCAAACTCGACCAATCACGAGGTGGCTCCCTCCGTTCACTTCATAGAGCCGGCTTTTAGAGCGACCGACACATCACTAACGTGTTAGCTAGCAAGATGGTTAAGGTTAGGATAGGGGTGAGGGGAAGGTTACATAAGAGGATAAGGTTAAGGTGAGGTACAATGAGCTTGTTTGGTGTCCTGGCTGGGGACATCCCATCGTGTCAGTGTAACGCTGCGTTGGGATCTGCAGTCAAATAAGGGAAAAAACCCTTTTCACACATAAGTAACGAAAAAGGGCACCTTTGGCGTCGGGGGTCTGACGTGGACGGTGGCTGACCAAGCGTTTGTTTTTGACGCGCTGGGAGTGAGAACGTGTTGCACATTAACGTTTTCTGTTTCTAAGTGGCGTCACCAAAAATATATAATTAACACACAGTCATTCGTGTCCGTTCATCTTCTCTCTGGTAAGTTCTGTCTGTGTTTGAGCATGACGTGTGGACGCGCTCGCGCTGCAGCGCTCGTCACTGGTGCAGCCGGGCAGCGCGGCGCACACTCCGCTTTTTTAGCGGTCAATAGATCAGTTTGATCTGCTGGTTAAAAAGTGACTTGTGAGGTGAAAAAGAAGGAAGCAGGCAGGAGTCTTTCTGGAGGACTGGGAGATGCAGGAAGACCAGAGACAGACAGGACAGGAAGATCAGAGACAGACAGGACAGGAAGATCAGAGACAGACAGGACAGGAAGACAGGAAAATAAAAACCAAGAAAACAAAACAAAGTTCTTAACAAAATAAAATGTAGGTAGATTGATCCCACTACACGTGTGTACCTGTACGAAGCAATAACCTATCAGCATGTAGTATTCATATCGTTGATACAGTTCAGATCACCTTCAAAACTCCGTCCCATGCCCAGGGGCGTATCTAAGCATTTTGGGGCTGAGGCAAAATAGACCCCTGCCAGGTGTTTTAAGTTGAAGTGCTATCTGCTTTTATATTAGACTTTTTATATTATATTATATTAAACTCCGGGTCGGGGGAGAGGTCCTACCTCAAGTGGAGGAGTTTAAGTATCTCGGGGTCTTGTTCACGAGTGAGGATAGGAGGGATCGGGAGATCGACAGGCGGATTGGTTCGGCGTCTGCAGTGATGCGGACGCTGAGCCGATCTGTCGTGGGGAAGAGGGAGCTGAGCCAGAAAGCCAGGCTCTCGATTTACCGGTCGATCTACGTCCCAATCCTCACCTATGGTCATGAGCTTTGGGTAATGACCGAAAGAACGAGATCGCGGATACAAGCGGCCGAAATGAGTTTCCTCCGTAGGGTGGCCGGGCTCAGCCTTAGAGATAGGGTGAGGAGCTCGGACATTCGGGAGGGACTCGGAGTAGAACCGCTGCTCCTCCGGATCGAAAGGAGCCAGTTGAGGTGGTTTGGGCATCTGGTCAGGATGCCTCCTGGACACCTCCCCGGGGAGGTGTTTCGGGCATGTCCTGCCGGCAGGAGGCCCCCGGGTCGACCCAGGACACGTTGGAGAGGTTACATCTCCAATCTGGTCCGGGAACGCCTTGGGGTCCTGCCGGAGGAACTGGTGGAGGTGGCCGGGGAGAGGACGGTCTGGAGCTCCCTAGTTGGGATGCTGCCCCCGCGACCCGGATAAGCGGAGGAAGACGACGATGACGACTTTTTATATTTGCAATGAAGCCCAAAAGTGAAGAATTTATGTTATTTATTACTTGGTTGTTCAAGCTACTTCACAGAAGTGACCTGTTGTTAAAAATTTAAATAAAAGGTAAGTAAATAAAAAATAAGGAACATTCCGGAACTGTTTCTTTTTCTTTATTTTTTTTATTATGTATCGAAAGTATCGGATCGGGACTCGGTATCGGCAGATTCTCAAAATCAATTGACTCGGACTCGAGGGCAAAAAAACCTGATCGGGACATCCCTAATTATTACTATTTCTTCTGTAATGTTTACTGGACTTGGTCACAAGTCTGACCCAGCAGGTCCCTGAGGTCCAGTGACCAAAGCCTACTGGTTGTGCAGGACCAGGCTAAAGGTCAAAGGTGACAGATCATTTACTGCTGTGGCCCCCAGACTCTGGAACTCTGTCCCTCTGGGCCTGAGATCAGTGGACTCAGTGGTCTCCTTTAAAAGCAGCTGAAAACTCACCTGTTCGGGCTGGCTTTGGTGTGACCTTCATCACCACCATCTCCTTACTCTGCTCTTTCTACCAATTCCACTGATTTTTCTCTTTTCTTATACTTTTAACCACAACTGTGTAAAATAATTATCAAAAATCCTTTTTATATTTTACATTTTTCGTTCACGTGAAGCGCCTTGTGATATTTACTTTGAGGTGCTATAAAAATGTGTTCTTTCGTTTTAGTAAAAATCGATGAGTTACTAGGTCAATTCAATAATAACTATAATAATCTGAACAGCAAAACACTAATACTCAGGACCGAACTTCATCTGTGACTTTTTCTTGAAATTAGTTTGTCACTTAGCCGTAGGACAAAAGCCAACTGCTGTACTTGGA